CCTAATGTGTGAAGCATTCTAGTGCAGCAGCCCAAATGTTGCCTGTGTTCATGAATCAGTTGGGGTTTTTTTCTTTTTAAAAAGAGGTGTATTTTTAGCAAGTAAACAAAACAGTGAAGAAATACTTTCCCCTTGTATTTAGTGTAAATAACCCCTTACATGCTTTCCTACAATAAAATTGGAAAACTCATGCTATTCTGTTTCTTTCCTTATAATATGAGTGAACATGGATGCCTGCATGATTCTTGGCTAGTAAGATCACTGCATGTTTTTTGTGATTTAAATTTTTTAGCACTGGTGAGTTGTAGCCCAAAGGCTCATAACCATAAAACTTTGCTGCTGCTTTAGGTATTCTTGAATTAAATTTACTTTCTTAGTGCTTCTGCTCTTACAAACTGGTTTTTGGTGTTTCACCTTTAGGGCACTGCTTTGAAAATTGCCTGCCCATCTGACAGCTGAGTTGTTATTGTCTGACTTGTCTTTGGCATCCTCAGTTCAGTTCCCAGCAGACAGGGTTGATGTACCTCTCATTAGGAGGCTGTGTCTGGGCAGATATTTGACAAGTTGAGTGAGCTCATTACAGACTTTTTCCTTTTTCTTCCCCTCATTTTTGCACTTCACCAGTACTTTGTGCAGTTTGTCGTCTCAGTAGTGTTTCTAATTTAGATGATGTCTATAGGCTCCATACCACAATGGATGCTGTGGTAGGCACAGCAGATATCTTCAATATCAAAATTCAGGCATCTTTCTCTCTTTTGCTAAGTACTGGATCAAATTTCTACTATTTTGTTCCCCTCATGATGTCCTTGGTCCCCTTCCATGTAACATAGCAGACAAAGAGTGAGTGCCTTCTGTATTGCTGTGAGAATCAGATACTGCAGGGCTGTGGAAAAGTTCTTCCATCTGTAATTTCAAGATGCCTAAAACAAGCTGAAAATGTAAGGCTGCTATGAACGTTTCCAGTCTGCTAATGAGAGCATTCTGCAGTTGGCTTCTCTTCTGTAGGTTTTTCTCCAGTTCTTGGTTTGGATCATGGAAGAAATCACAGTTTTTCCTTTTCTCCTTCAGTTTCACCTGTGCAAGCAGATGACTAATTCACATCCAGTCTAAGCCTTCCCTCTTTAAGGTTAAAGCCCCCCCTGCTTTGTCCTGTCACTTCATGCCCCTGTCAAAAGTCCCTCTCTAGCTCTCTTGTAGTCCCTTCAGGTACTGGAAGGAGTTTCAGGTTTCCCCAGAGCTGTCTCTTCTCCAGGGTGAACAACCCCAAGTCTCTCAGCCTGTTTCCACAGCAGAGGTGCTCCAGCCCTTTCAGCATTTTCAGGGTCTCCTCTGGACTTACTCCACATGCCAGTATCCTTATGTTGGGGGCCCCAGAGCTGGATGCAGCACTACAGGTGGGGTCTCACCAGGGTGGAGCAGAGGGGGAGAATCCCCTCCCTTGGCCTGCTGCCCACATGCAGCCCAGAAAGGCAGATGAGTCCTTTGAGCTGCCAGGGCACATTGTTGAGTCATGCTGAGCTGCTCACCCACCAACACCTCTCAATCCATTCTCCACCCAGCCTGTGTATGTGTATGGGACTGCCCATTTTGCACCATGGTCCAACATATGGGGAATTGGAAAAGAAATTTGCATTAAAAGCGAGGGTTATTGTAGTTGCTGAGATCCAGATGTTGACTTTTTGTTCCCATCCCCAGGTTTGAAACATTAAGGTTTTTCTGCTCTCAAAAATACCAGAGTTCATGCTCTGTGTTGTCTCAGAGGCACTCATGCCATTCACACATTGTCCTTTAATTCTGGATAATTGTTGGGCTTCTGCACTGCAATAGCCTGTAAGATGATTGATCTCAGAATGAAAAGAAAAACAAAGGGCTCTAGTCATGCACAAAGATAATTTGCATCTTTCATCCCTGTTGAAGGGGGAACAGGGCTTCAGATGACAGTCACCCCAGTATGGGGAGTTCTGTTCTCTCAGGTGATTCCAAGTGTAGGAACAGTGTGCCAGTACAGCTGCAGCCACAGGGAGATTAAGCAATCTACAAAGGAAGGGCAAATAATTTGCTAAGAAACAACGATGTTCAAACACTCCTCACCTCTGCGTTGTACCTGCTAGTTAGATGGAAGCAAGAGGGAAAAGAATCTGGCAGAGCAAGGAAAATGCTGACCTCACATGAAAGAGAAGTAAGTTAGTGGTTTGAAAATGTGTTGTCCTGTTTACCATTAACTTTCTGGATTTAATTTAAATAAGGCATCTGTGTACGTGGGAAACCCAGCTTTGAATGCTTTCAGTGGGAGATTCATATCCACATTGCTGAAGTCCAGTGAAATTCATGACACAAATTTGGAAGTAAATAATTTAATTACTGAGTCAAGAGCTCAAAAAACAATGTGTAAGTGTATTGGGAGCAAAGCTGAAGCTTATGAGACATTAACTCAGACCTGGTGTGGCTTTCACCTATCTTATTTTAGAAAGGACCAAAAAAATGTAAATGGGCAGGGACACTCACTGCAAAAAGTACAAAGCAAGTTCTTGGGAAGATGAATGAACAGGGTATGCATCTAAATCACGACTGCATGACATCACTGAATCATTTAGATTGGAAAAAACCTCTAAGACCATGGAGTCCAACCATAAACCTAGCACTACCACACCCACACTAAGCCATGGCCCCAGGTGCCACATCCACACACCTTTTGAACACTGCCAGGGATGATGACTTCCACTTGCCTGGGTAGTGTGCTCCAAAGCCTGGCAACGCTTTTGGGAAAGATATTTTTTTCCTAATATCCAATTTAAATCTCCTCTGGTGCAACTTAAGGCTGTTTCTTGTCCTGTCACTTCTTAGTGACACTCCACTGACAACACTCTCCTCTCAGGCAGTTGTAGAGAGCAATAAGGTCCCTCCTGAGCATCCTTTTCTTCAGGCTGAACACCCCCAGCTCCCTCAGGCTGCTCCTCATCAGACTTGCACTCTCCACCATGCTGTACTGGTCATCTTGGGATCAAGCTCATAGAGATTATTTCCTCTGAAATCCTGCCTTGTCTAAGTTAGAATCACTTTTTTAATCTTATTTCACTGGCATCTTCCATTTTATTCTTAGTAACAGGCAGTGGGAATGCAGAAAAGGCTGTCTTTTTACTTTACAGTTTGCTAATGCAGCATCAGCAGGACCTCAAAATATAAAGTTTTAAGGCTTGCAGATGCCAGGCTTTGCACAAATGCTGCCCAATGTCCCTTAAAAATGCTGCTCGTGTTGCATTTGGTGTCTGTGAGCCTTTTAAGGCCTGTTCCTGCGGGCTGCCAGCTCACACATGCTGCTTCACAAAGATAAAGGCTGGGACTGACCCACTCGGCGGCAGAGCAGCTGGGGTGGAATCTTCCTGGCTCCCAGCCCAGCTGCAGCTCGGCTTTCATTTCAGCGGCAGGGTGGGAGTTCACTGCCTACTGGGAGATCGTTTTCCTGGTGGGAGGCAGAGCAGTGGTGGATGTGAGAAATCCTGCCCTACAAAAGTGCATTCCCATGATTTGGGCTATGAGCCCGCAATTTTAACAAATTATTTATGGCTCTTGCTGAAAGCAGCAATTTAACAAAGATACAGTTTGAGCTCTGCTGGAATTTTTTTGATGAATCAATCCCAGCTGCTTCCACCATCTAGCAAAGCAATTTCAGGCACCAAGAAGGAAATCGGGCTTTCAGTGACTGGAGCAGCCCAAGTGGAATAGATGCTATTGTGGGAACTGACAGTGCTGACTCAGGAAGCTGTGACGGGAGCAGCAAGAGAAGACATGGATGGAAAAACTTACAGCAAATTATGTCCTTGTTGACACCAAAATTTTGTACTGGTGGTGGGGAAACTTAGCAGTTTACCTTTAAAAAAATAAATCCATTTCTTTGCACACTGCAGCTCCCTGTTTTGGAAGTGGAATCTTCTGCATCCTACCAGTTGCCAAATGAAGGGAAGAATTAAGAGGCTACAGCACAAAGCTGGGTAGGGTACACCTCAGTCAGCTGGCAATGCAAAACAAGCTCTGCTCCCTGTGTGCCTTTTGGGAGGACAGATAGTGTGGCAGCAGCAGGGTGAGGAGCCCACAATATTTGTCTCAAATGCAGGACCTCAGCTAAACAGTTTTGGTGAATGTGGCATCACCAATAATGTGCCACATTAACATGAAAATATGTTTCAAAAAAAAAAAGTAAAAAACAGACCTGGAAGAGAAAGATAAGGTGTTTGCTCGACTTCTCCTAACGGTGTAATGCGCATGGTTCCATTTTTTTAAGTACTGCAGTGTTTTCTTAGCCAAAGCATTACCAAGCCTCTTCCCATTTGAGGCTGCCTTAAGGCCCAGAAGCTCCTAAAATAAAACAAATACATGACCATGATCAAGAAAGTCAAACCACCTTCACTATCAGATAACATTTAGTGCAAAAAGTCTCCACACTCTGTGGGCTGGTAGGAACTCATTCTGCTGGCATTCCCTCGGGATGACCACAGTCTTCTGGGTCAGTAGTTCACCTCCTCCTTCACACCAGGCAAGTTGTGCAGAAAAATGTCACAGCAGCTACAATGAGCACTATACCAGCTGCTGTGTCAGACAACACAGATGCAGCTGGAAAGGCAGTTCCTGCTGGGTTATGTAAGATTTTGCCTCAAATGTAGCTACACTAACAGAAAACATTGCTGTCATTAGGAGACTGCAAGATAAAACTTTCACTTTCCCTTTGCTTTTACATCACTCTGTATTTTATCAGATAAAAGGTTCTAAATGATTACTAGAGCAAATAGCAGAAAAAGAACAAAGTATTTTGTGTGCCTTGGGAAAGTTATTGTGCTCTCCTATCAATCTAAGCCTCTCTACTACTGCTTGGGTAGCTCCAAGTGCCTCAGGGCTTTTACAGCTTCGTCTTGGTACTTTCATTAATACACACAGAATTAATATGCACAGAACAAGAAATGGTGAGCCTGGTGGGGAAAAAAATCTACAGTAAGTAGAACTTGTGACTTCTATCTATTGATAGAAGCCCACCACAAACAGCAACCAAGAGAACTGTTTGAATCTTCAGTGTAATAATGCTTGTGGGCACAACATTTAAATAATCAGATAATGACCAGTAACAAGTCTCACATGCATCCCCAGCTTGCCAGCAGTACCTTGCTAGCAGCAATTCAGACTGATTTCCTACATATCAATGTTTTATGCTGCAAACTCTAGCTTTGTAACTCATGTTTCTGATTATTTTAAGTGTGTAAGAACTTCTGAATAGATATGTATTAGACAGCTCAATCCTCAAAACTGGCAGTTAATAAGAAAATTCTTTAAGGCCCAGGTTTTATGCTTATACCCTGCTGACATTTTTTCCCCTTTTTCAGGCTCAATGAAAAATTTAAATGTGCTCTGTTATGTGATGTTCATAAATTGGCAAATACCCTGAGGTCACCTGCAGGAGGTAAAGTTCTGTTATGGGTTTGCTTTTTAATTTATTTTATTTTTAACTTGTTTATCCAGTGCTGGTAAAGTGCTTCTTTACCACCACTTCATATCTACCATTTGATTGTGCTCATCAGCTATTTTATGGCTGCATTCCAGTAGCCAGTAATGTAATAAAAGTATTCAAAATATAATTTCCTGATTTAGTGAACAGGTGAAATGTTAAGTAACAAGACTATGGATGGCCTTCAGAGGAAAATTAGGTCAATCTCAACAATACATGGAAATTATTCTGTAATGAAACGATTTAATTACATTAACAGCCCCGCCTTTTGCGAGCCCTCGATTTGTTTAAATCCTGAGCTAATAAACTGTCTTTGCATTTTCGATGGTCAGTGCACAAATGCCTTGGCATGCAAGTTCACCCTCCGCTGAGTGCAATTTGATCCAGCAGAGGCGTGTCCGTGATTTGGCCACGGGCCGGGCAGGCGGAATGGGCGGCGCTTCAGCAGGTGGAATGGAAGACCCCACCCACTCTGACACCCTGAGCTGCCAGGGCATTGTACTCCGCCACTGCCTTCTCCGTTTGCAGCACCAGCACCTCAATCCCGTTCTTCTTCAGATAGTCCACAGTGGATGCTGGAACCTTGGAGGAGAAAAGAAATCACAAAAGCAAGAATCAGATTATTTTCCCCTTAAACTGGAAAAAAACCAGACACTGATACTATTGGAATATGAATCCCAATATTACCAGTTAGATTGTGCCTGGGCCAGTCTGACCCTCGCTGCCAGGCCAAAGGCGGCATCTGTGGTGTATCACCCCAGAGACACCTTTAGCTTGCTGGTGGTTGCAGCTGGGCCCTAAGCAAGTCCAGGCTTGTTAGGAACTCCGTTTACCTCAGGAGGAAAGCTTCAAGCGATGGTGAAGAGAAAAAGGAGAGGATTCTGCTGGAGGGTTTAATATCCAGTGGTTTATTCCATGGTTACAGAGATCTGAATCTTGGGAAGAGCTCCAACAGAATACCCGACCGCATGGCCAGACTCACGTTTTAAGCTCAGGGGGAGGGGAGGGGACAGGTGAGCCACCAACCAGGTGGGAGGGGCAGGGTCTCAAGGGGCAAGGGACACCTAGACAGGCCAATGACCCCCAGGCCTGAGGGGCATCCTTTGAACTTCACCAACCACACGCCGCCTTGCTGGAATGTTAAGCCTGATTGACAGGACTCACTCAGCAAGGGGGCGAGGGGGGAAGGGGAAGAGAGATATTGCCACACCTGGGAGGTGACCTGGAAGTTTAAAGCACACTGCAACATGATACCATTTGTTAAACATGACTTAAGTCACTGCCAGTAGCCAAAATGACAATGCTCAGATAGGTCTAAGATTGATTTAATTTTTTTTCTCTTCAATAAAGCTGCTTTTATACACATAGCTCCCCTACCTCCTTAGCACACTTTAAAATGTGGTCCTCTCTTACAAAAATAAATAGAACTGGAGCTAAAGGAATTTAATCTAAAGAAGGTGTTATTCATCCCACCAGAAAGCTAAAGACTTGCTTCTCACCAAGTAAAGCTCAGCACTTCTGATCTGAGCTTTCTGTAGCTAGTTTATCTGCTGAAATGACACCCTGGCAACAATTGTGACAAGAATGCCTAATTTCCAAAGTATTTACAGCAGGCTAGAGAGCCAGTTATAACCTATTGCAAGAGGAGGGGACTAATGACATTCTGAAAAATTCTTCTTGTTTCATTTGCTCCTGTAGCAGAACATAAACCTGTTTACTGCTTGGCATGGACACTAATACAGAGGAGCTCAAATGATGTTTCTTTCAGGACCTGAGGGACCCCTGACAGGAGCTCATTCACACTGGTCCTCAATCTTTTTCCCTCAGTGAAGCATCATCGATTTAATTTTTTTCCTCCTAATCAGAGGGAGAGGGAAAACAAACAGTTCTTTTTATGCTTGTCACAGCACAAAAACCTACCTGCAAAGCCTCACTCATGCCACGACCAATCACCACAGTTTTAACTCCCTTCTTGATGACTTCTTCAAGGTCAGCTGGCTGCACTCCTGGAGAATGCTAAGTGTCAGGGAAGGAAAATAACAGTCTGTGTACTGACAGCATCAGGCAGGAAAGCTGTGTCTGTGTGTCCTGAGCACAGAGCAGCAGGGTAAATCAACAGAACCAGAATGTAACACAAGCATCTCCTGTACAGACACATAGCAGATAACATTAGGAACTGAAAAAGGTATTTAATATGCAGATGAAGGATGATAATTATTTGATTGATGGCAGGATTATAATTCCTTATTAAATAATTAAAACTAAAAAGATGCATTACAAATTTCTTAAACTTTTATGTCTTAACTTCTGGCATTTTATAAATATTAACAGTTAAGGTGAAATCAGTAAATTGCAACAATACTGTTGTTTGATTTCAAAATAACAAAATCTACTTGAAAGAAAGATGATTGCACGCCAAAGTTTCCTCACTTTAAATACAAAGAACTCCTCAGATAATTAAAATTATTAAGTAATTTTCTTGTTTACTTTGCAAATCTCACTAAAGAGGACTGAAATTTATTGGGAAACTTAATTTCAGTTACCAGCTTGGATTTCTGCAATATTCTTTATTTTGAGAAAAGAATATTTGAATCCAAACGCCTCAGAGAAAGAAGGAACTTACACAGCACATTAACAGATGTTTTAAAAACTACACCCACTTACTGCTATTATGCTTTAAACATATGAATGCATAAACACACCTATAATGTTAATATAAAACATTATTATGTTACCCTAATTCTCTTCCTGGATTCAGTTTCTATCTGTCTCCATGTGGTCAAGAGTAAGATACTGGACATCCTGTGGCTATAATTTGGCCCCTCTTTGGTGTGTATTTTTAAAACATAAATATTATTTATGTTTTAAAGAAATATTTAAATATTATTATAAGAAATAATATTACTATTTATTCTGTTATATAATAACATATTATTTTATTAGAGTTATGTATAATTATATAAAATATCATAATTAATATGTTATATAAGAATAGACAATAATATTTATTAGTGTAATATTATTATAAATATTAAAAATATTAATTATGTTTTAAATAATAACCCCCCTTTTTATATTAAGTAGAATTCTGAAGTTCAGAAGTTTTTGAGAGGTCTGAGTTTCTCACTTGAAGTAGGTAATGCCACGGTGGACTCATGGAGAATGGGGCAAGTAAGACTTTCCCAGCTAAAACAAACACATGAGCTCCTAAGGCTGCAGGTGGAAAAAGCCTTGCACTGTAGAGTGCCACTTCCAAAGCATAAAATAAACTTATTCCACAGGAAAGTCTTTAGCATGGCTGATGTCTGAAATTTCAGTAACAGAGATGATTCACCTTTATGGTTCTCCACGTTCACGGAATCCTAGAACACCTCAAGTTGGAAGGGATCCATGAGAATCATTCACAGGACTATCTTAAGCTAAGCCACGACTTAAGAGCACCATACAGATGCTTCTGGAACTCTGACAAGCTTGCTCTGTAACCACGTCCCTGTAGAGCCTGTTCCAGAGCCCAAGCATCCTCTGGGTGGAAAGCCTTCTCCTGACACCCCATCTGAACGTCCCCTCAGCTTGACTCCATTTCCATGGCTCCTACTGCTGGTCACCAGAGAGATCAGCACCTTGCCTGCATTGCCCTGCCTCTGGAAAGTGTACAGTGTGATGAGGTCACCCCTCAGCCTCCTCTTCTCCAAGATGAACAAGCCAAATGCCCTCAGCTGCTCCTCATAAGCCTTGCCCTCAAGGCCTTTCAGCACCTGCATCACCCTCCTTGGAACACAGTCTAACAGTCTGGTGTCCTCCTTGGGTTGAGGAGGTGCCCAAAACTGCACACAGAACTCGAGGTGGGGCTGCTCCAGTGCAGAGCAGAGTGGGACAAGCAGCTCCCTCAGCTGTGCTGTGTGTGACACACTCCAGGACATGTCTGGCCCTTTGGGCTGCCAGGACCATGGGCTGTGTTCCCCTTAGTCCATTCACATTCCATACCCACACCTGGAATGCAGAACTCACTTGCACAGGCAGAGCCTTCTCAGACCACATCACTCTAAGTGCTTGTTTATGACAGAATAGCAATGCTTTTCCTTTGGGGTTTTTTAAGTAGACTCAAAACTTAGACGAGAAGAATTGGTGTGTTTTACTGCAATTACAATAATTAGAATTCTGGAGAAGGTTTGCTGTCACGTGAGAAGCTCTCCTGAGACATTAAAGCCACAGAACAAAAGGATTTTCTTTGGTTACACAGGACACTTTGATGCTAGTAAAAAACTACTGTTGCTACAGGAAACATGTAACATGATGAAATAACTGTATCATTGTTGATTTGACAGCAGATTTTCTTGCCTGCTCTGTTCTGTGGCCTTCATTTCAGCAATACCTATGTCTTTTCTGCTGCCATTAGCAGATGGCACTGAAATGCTGCCAGCCAGGGAGAGAGGGTGCCATTCATCCCCAAGGGTTAAGGCCACAATAACTGTGAGTGCTCAGTTACAGAACCTTGCAGGGCCAGTCATACAATTTTCCTGATGAAAAAATGCTTCACTAGACAGCAGTGTGACAGCAAAGGAGGAAAGGAAGCAATTTATTTCCATCTAGAGTGCAGGACATGACCAGCACTGCTTGTTTTCCACACTTCAGTTCCAGCTACCTCCAGGAAAAACATGCTTAAGGAAAGTAGGCAAACAACTCCATCTTTAAAAAACTGGGCAGAAAATGCAGCTGATGAATCTCACAGTTTCCAGTGCTGACAAAATTAAATTTTTGACAGTTCTTCTCAACATTGGAGATGCAGTCTAGAAAAAGCTTAGTTCTATTCTTATTATTTGTTTTTTGCTATTTCTTTTAAAAGAAAATCACGTCACTCCTCAGCTGCAAGGATAGAACTGACCTAAAGCAGGAGCTTTATAAGTGATTTACATAAGATCTTACTTTAGATATGTACTTTTTACTTCCTGATTAAATAAAAAGGATGCCAGAAAACCTACTTCTCCAGAGAACCCAACTATTCTTTTTCTCCTCCAATTTTAATTTAACATTGTTAAATTAACATTGTTTTTCAAGTCCTCTAAAAACTTATGGATTTAAATGTTTTACTTGTGACAAGAATATATTCCTTGCTAGAAACTTTCAAAAGAAAGCACAGCCTTTTAAATGTTAGTAAGTGCCTATAATTTGAAACCAAAGTTTTCCAGTGATTGGAATAAATATAAAAATGTGATTGAGATAAGAACTGTTTGGGAACTTTTTGGCTATTGTTACCTATTCTGCTTCTCCAGCCATGTGCATATAAAGCAGAAAAATTATACTGTCAAACAAGCAGACAGCAACTCTCCCACAAAACCCAGCCCTTTGAACCCAACCAACCAATGAAAACTTATTTTTTAATAACCAGGCCATAAATGAAATACATTTTAAAAAGTTACATACACAGCTACCTTTTTCACTGCAAGGTGCAGACATCTTTGCAAGACAGCAGCACCTTTCTCTTGGTGTTATATATTCTGCATAAACTGAACTCTGACAGGTTAAAAAAGTTCTATTCTCCCAAAGATTACAGATGAAGTTGCAAACCCAAATGCTTTGTGTTTCAGTTGTGTCAACATGAATCCAAGAGAGCTGCATCCTCTGCACGGATATACATCCCAGCTGCAGGTGCTGGGCCTGGTCACTACACTGTTGTTTTGTGCTTTAACTTTTGCTTTGAAAGTGTGGAACTTCTTTTTTCCTAGCCAACCATCTATCCCAGTGCAAGTCCTAATATGGGGAGAATTACCAACATCAAGTTTCTATTGCAATATTTGCTATACTGCTTCTAAATCAGAAACATCAATACTGCTCCATGCACTTCCTTCCAATTCTGATTGCATTTACAGATAAACTTTAAGGGCAAGCCCTTAGCATATGGCTACCAAGAGAAGTCACTGTGTGATTAGCCAGACCATGAGCTTTTCACAGAGAAAATAGTGCATCAGACACTGTATCTGCATATTTCTCCTCTCAAATACTCTCAAATACCCTCTCTCGGGGTACAAGGGACCCCAAGGAAAAGGATAAAAACTAAACCACATGCAATGCTGTCTTCTAAACACGCAAGGCCAGTTACTGTCTATTTTTTTTTTTTTTTTTTACTTTTCGTAATTACTTTTCCTATCTCACTCAAGATAACTTCTGTTTAGACAGTCTGAAGAGAGGTTGTTACTGTTATCTTATGAAAACTGCACTCTTAGACAGATGAGGAATATTGTTTGAGAGCTCTAAGGTGTGTGAGAGCTGCCTGGTGAGGGTGGCTGTCAGAACTCAGGGCAACAATTGCTATATCCTGTTGTGTGTAGGACACAGTGGGGCTGCAGCCCTCTGACGCCTCCACAAAGTCACCTCCAAAACACATACTCAGTTCTTACCAGGAAAATCTAATGGTTAATGAAAGAAAAAGGCAGCTCACTGAATTTCTGTCTGGAGCTTTAACACTGTTCTCTGTACCATTCTGAGAGTCCTGTTTTAAATGCAAGGTACTAACCAGCAAACTTACATTAGTCCCGGTTTCTCGCCAATCCCATGTCCGGCTTCCTCCCGGCCATACTTTGCAGTCCTTATACGTTGTAGAGCAGCCCTTCACCTTCATCTGACCCCAAGAAAGGGAAGCAATTTCAGGGGAAGACATCACAAAGTGGAACTGAAGTCTGGAAAAAGGATATTTAATACTTAACATCAGGCCAACATATGCAGCACGTTAATAAAAACGGAAAATTCTGTCCTGGCCCCAAGGAGCGAGGAAGGAAATGCTGTTACAGACTTTATCCACGTAGTTTTGTGACAACAGACTTGAACTGAGGATCAGCAGATCTGTTGAATTACCAGTCCTCTTGGGGATTTTGTGCAGGATTTTGGGCAAATCATTTTGTGTGCTAAATCTCTTTGAGTATTGGATGTTTGACTTTTAAAACTATCAAGAGGGATCAGGTCCCAGAATATCCTCCCACATCTGGGTTTTAATCTTCTCCCCAAAATGAACAATAAGGATGATAATAATTTCCTAAAATATCATAAATCTGCACTATTTCATTGGCCACTTTCTTCTTTTACCATTACAGTGGTAAATGAGGTTAAAAGGAAATGCCAAACCAACCCAAACCCAACAGTAAAGCCTTGAACCAAAGAGTGTCACTGTCACACTGCTACAGAAAACAAGACTTTCAGGGGTGTAAAGGGGTCGAGCCTTTCCCCAGACACTGCTGACAGGGACCAAGTCTCCCAGGATTATACATCCAAATAAAAACTTGTCTAATTGTTTGCCTTCCATCTTCATTGTTTCAACTTAAATCCATTATTTCTAATCCTTTCTATTGGGGACAAGTAGAACAGCTTAATCTTTGTCTTTTTCACCTCTTTTGTTTGTTTGTTTGTTTTCTTGATGATTTCACACAGTATTTTTCTTTTATTTCATTTAGATTAAATAAACATCCCTTCAGTCATGTTTTCTAAGTCTCTGCTGATTTTCTCCCTTTCTCCTTTAGCAGCCAACCACTGGTACACATCTTCCTTTGATGTCTGTTGCCTGGAACTTGCCAGAGCCTTATCAGTGACCCTGTATCCCAGCTGCTTTTTGGTGAGCCCTGCAGCGACGTTGGGATCTGCTTCCACAGCCACTGCTGGGCACCAGCAGGGCAGGGACCCTGCCTCACAAACTCCCTGTCAGCTCCCCACAGAAACCTTCCCCTCCTCAGAGTCCCTCAGGTACTGCAGTCGGATTGCTGTGGTGATTCTGGCACTGGATGCAAAGAGAGGAATCACAGGGTGATGATCCCCTGGAAATGCTTTGGACTAGCATGGCAGTCCACTGACACCTCTCCAGGGCAGAGTCACCTTTCTGCCCTTCCAATTCACATGGTCTGAAATCCCCATTTTGAAGAAAACTTGATGTTTCTCCAGTAAAGAGAGGTCCACCTCTGCCTACTCCAGAACATCTCTGTGGGAGATCCTTCCAGATACACAGATTCTCACCCTTTATTGTTTAATTGTTTACATTCACCAGGAATTGAACAGTTTAAATTAATTACATGAACCCTGGCAGCACAGATTAAAGGCACTGCCCTTGCAAAAGATCAATCTTTGGATGGCCATGCTTCCAGTCCTCCTGGAAGTCTCCCTTCCTGTCTTGCACCTGCTACAAAAGATGCAGCACTGCCAGATAGGACGTGCTCTCCTTGGATTGCCAGACTCTCAGTATCCCACTTGAAACACTGCATGAAGGAAAAAGTGCATTACTTTGGATTCAGCACAGGACTGGGTCTGCCAGAGGTGGGGCAATTCTTTTTCTTCTCACTCCTGTGTGGAGTTAGTGGCACATGTGCCCTGTCAAACAGGAAGCAAGGCAAGCACCTACAGGGGACTGAAACTTGCTTGGATTAGTTCAGTCTAGATTCTCTCATCACGCATCCACGATGCAATGGATTCAAGCAAAGATTTGTAAGATTATTTTTCCAAAGGGATATTCCAGCTGAAGAAATAACCAGCAGTAGTCCCAACAGAATGAAATGAAAAAGAGTAAAGGCTGTATAAAGCAGCCAGAACCTGGCTCTGAAGAATAAAAATAATTTTTGCCTGTGCTACTTTTCAGATGAAATGGTAGAATTAGACCTGGAGGTTAGACAGAGGTGAATGAACAACAAGATGATCAGGAGTATTACCTTCCCCAGTCCAAACAGTATCACAAGGCTGGAACTGTGCAATCAAACAGGCACAAACTGCAAATGGGAGAGAAAGGATTCCATGCTATCTTTTCCAAACAGCATAAAAACAAGTAAATAGCAGAAATGAAGCAACACAGCTTACAAGGCACAAATAAAAATTTATCCTCTAAAACCATTTCCAATAATACTGCCAGAGATTATCAGTAAGGTCAGGCCACTAGAATAAATAAGACTAGCTTAGAGTGAGAATTAACTCATTGATAGAAACTTTGGGTATCCTTGGATGTAGAGCATGCTCCAATCACTGCGAAGCAAGAAAATAGCTCTCAAACAAATTATTTTTTGAATTATTCACTGTGAGAAATGTAAAGTATCAAAATATACATTAACACTTAAGATCAAGAGACCTTGAGTTAACTGACTTGCAAATACAACCTAAAATTGCAATTTCTGCAAACTGCAGTAGTCCAAACACAAAGAGATGAGGAGCAGAAATGGCTAAGCACTCTACAAGCAAAGTCATGAGAGTTTAAAAACATCAGAAATAAAGGAAGTAGAACTTAAAAGGAGGCAAAATGCACGTTTATGCCAGGAGGCTATACTGAAAGAGAGAAATGAAGCGCTGGATAAGGATGGCAGAAGACAAAAGCAACTGAGAAGGAAGCGGAAGCAAGCTGAGCAATAGAAGTGCAGCTGGGCAAGCTGGTGGACTTTAAGATTGCCAGCACACCTTTCTTCTATGGAGGTAACCAGTAACAAATGGAATAAAGACGTGAACGAGAGCAGTGCACCCGAGGACATTTTAAGATGCTGCAGAAAGAAAGGAAGTTTTGTAAAATCCAGTGGGCAACCTGAGACTGAAGAGAACACAAGGGGAAGAGTAAATGGGTGTGCGTGAAGTTTTGGGCAGAACAAATTCCTGTAAGGTGTGAGAAGGCAACGTGGCTCTCCAGCGCTGCCTGGGAGCAGGGTCAGGAGGAGGGCGACTTCCCATTCCAGGGGATTCAGCAGCCAGAAAAAAGTAAGGATTAAAAACTGACAGGAGGGAGGCAAACAGAAAGGACAGGAGAAGTTTAGATCAACTGTGTAGGGAGGGGGAAGGTGTCAAGTTCACGAAGGAGGAAAACACACTTTGGGAATTCGGCAATTCCTTTTCGCTAGGGAGCCTTGTGACGGCAGTTAACCGGGGAGGTCACGGGGAGCTGGTAGTAAGAGAAGAGGGGGAATAGCACTTGGTGAATACAGCGGAGAGAAGCAAGGAGACAAGGACAGAGACCACTGAGAAGCACCGCGGGAGGGGTGGAGGGCGAGAGTTGGGAAGGGAAGGCGCAGTTCAGGACCGCCCGAAGCACGGCCTGGCGTGAGGGGCACAGGGACCGGGACAGGACGGGGACAGCCCCGGCGCCGGCCGCGCGCTCCCGCCCGCTCCCCTCACGGAGGCTCCGTCACGCGCCCGGACTCACCGCCCCGCGCGCGCGACCCCACGGCCCCGCCAGGCTCCGCCTCCGCCCGGCCCCGCGGGGAGGGGGCGGGGCCTCCAGGCTGCCATGCTCTCATTGGACAGGGTTTCCTGCCGGCCCCGCCCTCCAAACATTCCGATTGGCCGGTCCATGGGTCTACCCCCGCCCCTGCCCCGCCTTGTTTTCATTCCCCCTCGCCGCGCGCGGCGGAGGGGAGCCGGCTCGCGCCGCTCTGGCCGCCGCCCCCTGCCCTCCCCTGCCTTCATCGTCCCCCCGGTGCATTGTGGGATAGTGGCGGCCCGGCCCGGCAGCGCCCCCTCCTCCCTCCCCCTCCCCAGCTCCTTCTCCATCCCCAGGTCCAAGATGGCGGCGGCGGCGGCGGCTCCTCCGGCCCCATCCCCGCCGCCCCCTGCCCCGGCGGGCCCGCGCTGCCCGGGCTCCTGGCCCAACTTCGCTGTTGTCTGCTCCTTCCTTGAGCGCTACGGGGCCCTGCTGGACCTGCCCGAGCTGCCCTTCCCTGAGCTGGAGCGCGTCCTGCAACCGCCGCAGGAGCCCGGAGACCAGGGTAAGCGACTCCCATAGATCTCCCGCCGGCCCGCTCCGGGGCGGCCGGCTGCGGGGGGCCCGGGGGGCGGAGGGGGGGCCGGGGCTGTCCCCCCCCCGCCTCCTCCCGGCCCCGGGGGTGGAGCGCGCCGAGGGAGAGGAGGGGCCTGGGATTCCCGGGGGGAGGGGAGCCCTCTCTCCCTGTTTTTTTGGGGGGGGAGCTGCTATTTGTGTGTGTACATTTGGGGGAGAGCTGCCTGCCCCCGCGGCGGGCTCGGGAGAGAGGTGGGGGACTTCCCCTTCCCCTCTCCTCCCTCTCAGTGTCGCCTGTGACCCCCCTCCTTCCCTCCCTCCCCCCCCGTTTCCCTGGGTTCGTTCCCGAGCTCTGTGCGGGTGGGACTCCTTGCAGAAAACAGGCATAAGACGAAATAACTATTTTCGTTCAGCTTGGCGCTGGTAGCCGGTCTCTCTTCCACCTCCTCCCTTCCCCACAGCTTGGGGGGTGCTTCATAGCCTCTGCCCCCCCCCAATATCTCTGCCCCTTTTTACCTCTTCCCCGAAACAAGAAGGGCACGCACGCACACACATGTACAAACACATGGGAATGTCCCGGTCCCCAGTGACTCCCCCCCCTCCTTCACCTCGGTGTATCTGGGATGAGGAATGGGGGTCACGGAGAAGCCCTGAGCCCCCCCCACGGCTGCTGTTGTGGGCCGTCTCCTCCCCACACACACAGCCAGCCATTGTGTGCCACCTCCATCCCTCTCTTCTCTCCCCTCCTCCTCCCCCGTCCCCTCTTCCAGTTGCGGGGGGGACAAGCTGTGTGCTCGCTGCCGCTCCCCCGCCGCCACCTGAGACGTGCGAGCTGGAGGCACAGGTTATGCACTCCGCTGTTTGCTTCCGAGCTGCTCTCGCTCTCCTCTCCTCCCTCTCCAGGAGCAGCTTTGGCTGCCAGACTCTCTAATCCCAGCTGCCCGCGATGGATGCGGGAGGGCCCGGGCCAAGAGAGCAGCCTGGGCAAGGAGGGCTGTGTGGAGGCGGCCGCAGGAATACAGAGGGGAGGGAGCTTGTTGCTCTTGATCTCTTGTCTCTGTTATTCGTTTGGTTGTTGCCTCTGCACTCTTGCCACATAGGGAGCCCGTGCGGCGCACGGCGCATGCTCGGCGCGGCCCCTTGGAAACTTCCTGCTGCTGGAGGAGCCCGGCTCGGGGCTGCTCCTGCTCCGGCAGCCCCTGCTCTCCCCAAAACGCGCCCGCCCTCGCCTCCTTCCCCACCGAGCCCACCCTGCCTGCGGCGGGGAACGGCGGTTGTGTGATTAAATCGGCGTGTAGGCCTTTCCTCAGATAAAGGAAGTTGTATTTTGCTAAGTGCAGGTGTCCTTTGAATTCACAGCAGCCACGGTTGAAACAGAGTGAAATATAATTAATATGTTTCCTCCTCGTGTTGTCTGTCAATATGAAAGAGACAGCTGAAATCTACAAAATTCTTAAAACAGGGTTAGCTTTGTGGAAAAACTTAGGTTTTGATTCAATTCCCCACCACTCCTGTACCTCTTACCTTATATAAAGGACTGTATCGTTTTTGAGAAACCGCTTAGAAAAAATGTTGTTTTGTTAAACTGTTGCAAAGCTTATTAATGAAAACCACCAACACATTTAAAAGTTTGAATTTTTAGTGAAAACAGTAATTTTAAAGTGGTGTTTGCAGAGAAAACTTAATGTTCTTACTGTGTTGCAAGGAGTGGATATGTAAAAGTAATTTAGTTGTGTGAACTGCAAAATAAATTAAACTGAAAGAGTGAGATAGTGGCCTGTGTTTTAAAAATATGCATGTTTTTAAAAATATGCTTATTATGCATATATAATATGCATTAAAAAAACCCTCAAACACCATAATTTCTGATGACTTTTAGTTACATGATGGGGGTTGTCAACATGGTGGTGTTTCCTGCATGACTCTTTTCTAAAAAGATTTCAAATTACTTCTGTTATGGAGTTTACTTCATGGGTTGATTTGACACTTGTCAAATGTTTAAACTTTTCTTTGTATCGCCCTTCCTGTTTGGCAAGGGACAGGTTATTTTCCCTGTTTTAGAGCAGTCCCCCCAAATGGGAGCAGATGCAGCTTCTGAAAATGTCATGTCTGAAGTAGTGGCGTTCTTTGCTTATGCCTGGCGTAGCTGATGTAATTGTAGAGATAATTCTCATCTCTGTAAAAGAAAGAGTGGAGGTGTGAAAAACAAACTTGGATAATTCTTGGTGTTTTGTCTGATAGTTGGTGGGTGTCTTGGATATCTTTTCCTTTGGTAAAACCAACTTGTTGACCTTGATCGGTGGTCTTGGGCTATGGTTCACGTTACTGCTGGTGTGTTACATTTTTGGGAAAATAGCTGCAGTGACTAGGTTTCTCTACTGATTTTTGCTTCAGGTAGCCCTCAAGGTGGTGTTTTTAAGGATGCAAGTCATGAAGTTGCTAAACACTGATGGAAAGCTGAAGGAGTTCTTTTATTGCTGCATATCTGTAATTTACAACTGTATGTAGTTTTCCTTGGAATGCAAAAGGATTTTGATTTCAGTTTGCAATGTACAGTTAGTTTCACTTTTGATACCAGCGTTGCTTGACAGTGGATTTGTAGTGGCATAGTAAAATTGAAAGAAATGTCCATGGAACCTCAAAGTGTTGGGTTCTTTCTCCTGAATTTTATAGAAACTGGAGCAAGTTTTAAATCTCAACTGTGGCATGAAACCTATTTGTAACTCCTCTTCATATTACTTTTGCAATCAAGTAAGGGAATCAGTAGTTTGTGGGTTTCCTTAATTATCTTTGAAAATGTTTTGATGCTCAGCAGTTTAAAAATGTGGGGTTTTGTTTGGTTGTTTTTGTTGTTTTTTTGTGGTTTTTTTGTTTGTTTTTTTTTGTTTGGGGTGTTTTTGTTTGTTTGTTTTTTGGGTTTTTTTTTGTTTTAAGCATGGCCTATATTGTCTTGTCTGTAGAGTTACTCTTGGGAGATGCCAGCAGAAGTTACTTCCTTTATATTAGGATCCCCAAGGAGAACAAGGAGCTTAAGTTTGGATGTTGTTCAGCAGTTGTATAACAGTCATATTTTCTTTCCTGTTAACAATTAGAACAAAGTACTTGCTCATTATTAAGGCAGCAAGGTATAACCTTTCCCTACAGGAAGGGATGCTGAGCAGATGCTGACAGCTAGGAAGCTATCAGTTATTTCATAGAGGCTTTTTAGATTTTTGTTATCACATAGACAGCGCTTGAACTTTGCTGTATTACTTCTGCTTAACTGAGAATTTCAAGGCAAATAGCAAGGACAGCAATGCTCAGGTATGAATAGTTTTCAATAATAGTCTGACTGATTGAGATATCAAATTAACCTGTATTGGTAGCACATTAGATGCTTTAACCAACTGTACATCGATAGGATTTAGTGGGTAATGTAAAACATGCCTGATTGGGAAAGTAAGAATGTATAGTGTTGATTTCACCCCCCAGTATTGAATAGTGGGATAAACTGATAGATCTGGAAACAGACTGCTACTTAGAAAAGCTCTGTGATAAAACAGCTTGATTTTTCTGGCTGGTGGCTCATTTAAAAGTTGCAACCATTCAAAAAAAGTAATATGAACTATAGTTATCTGGTGAAGAATTTATTTTATGAAGAATAATTACCTTGCATTTATGAGTGCTCATTCTTGCTTTAAGTACAATGTTGTGACTAGGGTTGCAGTTTTGACACTCTTGAATGTCTTAGGAAGAAGTAAAGCTGAGTGTCTGTCAAGATGGTGACAGTGTTAACTCACAGAATTTGCTAGTTGCTATGCCTGCAGAAGTAAGTTGTTTTTTGTAGGGTTTATTAAAAAGCAACTGCTGTGATTTAACCCCAGTTGGAAGCTCAGCCCTGTGTGGTCACTCACTCACTGTCCCCTGGTGGGATGGGAGAGAGAATTGGGAGGATAAAAGTGACCCAACCAGTGGGCTGAGAGAGGTAGTTTATTAAGGAAAGCAAAATGAGGAATTTGTTCACCACTTGCCATGGGCAGGCAGGTGCTCAGCTCCAGGAGAGCAGGGCTCCATCGCGTGTAAGGGTGGCTTGGGGGGACAAATGCCATGGTTACCAATGTTCTAGTCTTTCTTCTAGCCCCAACTTTACATGCTGATCATGGCATCCTATGGGCTGGACACCCCTTGAGTCATTTGGGGTCAGCTGTCCTGCCTGTGTCCCTTGCCAGCTCCTTGTACACCTCCAGCCCCCTCACTGCTGGGGTGTGTGGGGAGCAGCAAAAGCTTTGGCTCCATGTGAGCCCTGCTCAGCAATAACAAAAGCAACTTGGTGTTCACAGGCAC